TATATATATATATATATATATATATATATACATCACACGACAATCGATGTGGTTTTTACGCACAGCTTCGAAACGCGTTGACTTATAACTTGAAGCTCGTGGTACGAGTACCAACTTCTCGTAGCTCTTCAATGGGATTAGCTTCACGCCAATCCCGATAGAGTGCGACACCCTCAGGCTTCACAAAAGAAAGTATCCCTTTATTTAGACCCTACATCCCCTTTTTAGACCTTATCTATAATTAAGTTCTATATAGCGTATAGAAACATGAAAGTTACGAGTGCAGTCATCGGGGACTTCCACCTTTCGAGCAATCCCTTAACCTATGTTCTGAGGTAGATTGAGTTAGTTCAAAACGGAGTTTACATGGCACGTTTTACAAAATTATATCTGAACGTTTTCAGCAGTGAGAAGGCAAATATATTATATATATATATAAATATATTTATATATATATATATATATATTATATATATATATATATTATATTGGTTGTGTGTGTGTGTGTGATATAAAGCGGAAACGTGTTACTTATGGTAGTGTGGTTTTTGTCTTGTGGACTGCGTGGAAGGAGTTGTTGGAGCTAAGAGGTTGGCGTTGGCGTGGTGTTGCACTTGGCGCGAGCTGGACGCCGACTCCGCTACCGCTCGGCGAGAGCAGGCGCGCGAGCTGACGACGCTCCATCCGCGCGAGGTGGAGGGAAGCTGTCGGAACACGTGGAACGCGCTCCATCGACCGCTCCGACGCCTGCCGGCCGCCTCGACGACAGCCTCGCCCGTGGTACCACAGTGCGTTTCCCCCTACGCAGGTGCTGGCCGAAATGTATTCCTACGGTCACTCCCTTGCCGTTGTCAGTTCTGTACGAAGAATTGGCCGTTTCTCGGCTTTAATGACAGATGCCATTTACCCGGAAGCTGTTGATCCTGTCTGGAACCAAACGCACTGAATATGAATCCTCTTCCAAAAAAATTATTACTTCGAGATGCACGTCGTTGAGTTAGAAAGTAAACCCTTCAATTTCTCAAGCCTGTAGAACCCCCTAAATGCTCCTGCTCGCGAACAACTATAAGCTTAAAAACGTTTTCTTTTTCGCTGTTCAGTTCATAGTTTGTTTTTTTTTTTTTAATGTACCTGAACGAAACATGTGTAGTATACTCCTTAGCCTTGCGTCTTTTTCGATTGCAACTTTAAATATTTGTCGCCCTACTAAAGCAAGAATTGGACCATACATTTTTTTATGAATTCGACTCATTGAAAATTTAACAGGAAAATCATAAATAAATTGAATAGTGCTTAAATAAGAATAATAAACTCGATTAAAACCTCTATTTGTTGAATAATTATTAAAATTGCAATTTGCAATTGATCCCGAAAATTTAATGTTATCATTAGTCATGCCCTCCGGGTTCATTTGGTCCAGAATTGATAGAAAATAATTTCTTCCATTAACATGAAAAGTAATTTTCAAAGGCAAATAACCTCAAAAATATTAGGCTATTTATCCCACATCGTGCTTTTCTTGAAAGCATTGACTTACCGGTCACGAGAAACATAGAGAACCATAATTGGATAACCATGTCCCGCACTGAGCTCCAAGAAAAACTTGCCCAGTTAGCTGAAGTCCTCTAACAGCAATACCACTTATCCAGAAGCAAAACGGACGGTCCAAAGGATCAGCGGGCACTACAATCCGTTAATATTTTGCCTACGCGAGGATGCCTCATATCCGGAGTCTGAGGTGCCCCCTGTTTCGGAGGAACCCCGGGATAGATGCCGCCGGGCGGCATCCATAAGCGCGCGCGTTTCCGACGCGCCTTAGGAACCGAAGTGGGCGTGACACATCTGGGGGGCGGCGAAGGGAAGTGGCCCGGGAAGTACGCTCCCCGTTGAACCCCCCTCGCTGCGCCCCCTCCCACCGCCTTTTCGCCCCCTCCTCATCCTTTTCCTCTTTCTTCCAGGCTCGCTTGATCCTCGCCGCGCATTCACATACTTGTGTGCGGCGCCGGTTGCCGCCCTCCCGATCCGCAGACCGAGGGAACTTTAGCGGGCGCACGGCCCGCGTAAAGAATAAAGCGCCTATAGACAGAGGCTTTACCGCGGGATTTGCCTTCCGCCCCTCGCGCACCCCCCGCCCCCTTTCGCTCCTCGCCCTCGCACTTCCCGGGAGCGAGCGCGATCCACCAACGAGGCGCCGTTGCTGTCGCCAATCTGCCCCAGCGAAGACACATCACTATTATCCCTCCACCCGGAAACAAGAGGGAAAGGCACTTATGATGTTGGATTGATGATAGATCTGTGCAATTAAAGGAATTAAGTTAAGAAGAAGAAGAGAGTCAAGTCAGTGCGCGTATACCTAGATAAGCTGGAATAACCCAGGAGTGATAAGTGAGCGCAGTGTCAGGCAAGGGGAAGAAGATCCCGGCGATAAGCCGGCGGCGGCCGAAGAGGTCACCGGCGCAAAGAAAGACGAAAACCGTATTGACATGCGTGCTCCGAGTGGAACGTATTCTGAGCCAAGCCCGTAAATGTGGCCGCACAGTGATTGAACAAGTACGAAGCCGGGGAAAACGCTGGCAGGTGCGGCCCGGGCGCGCCGCGCGCGGCGAATAAGAAGAGCAATAGAGGTTACCCGCCAGAAGTAAGAAACTTGGTGGCAGCGTGGTCGCCGCGGTGGATAAGCCGAATAAAGAGCGGCCGCCCGGAGCACGCGCGCGCGGG